GATGACTGAACAGTCAGGTGACGCTGGCAGCCTCTCTCTACCACCACCACCAAGAGCCGCCCACGGGGGTGGCGTGATTGTTTCTCCGCTTTTCCGTCCACAGGTCCATCGCCGCCTCATGTGTCGCGTTTTTGTCTTCGGTGGTCTCAACACCAGTGGCCCTCTCAACGACTTTTACTATTTCGATGAGGGTTGGTTCCAATAACCTCTTAATATCCTCCTCACTCCTTTTCTCCTCATTCAACCTCCTCTCCCTTCACTTATTTATATTGAGCAACTGGATGATACCTTTTTAACCTACTTCACTGTTTGCTATAGACTACAACGCGCGCCACCTATTAGAATCCAAAGGTTCTCTTCGATCATGACCCAGCCTAGTATTCATTCTGTTGGATTCTAGATGATTGCTTAGGCAATCCTGCCTGAGCAGTCATCTTGCTGTTCCCGTAATGGCGGATTCCATACAAACGTTAAGTTGGACGGATAAAATCGATCCAAATGTGCTTAAATTCACGGCGCACGGCGTGCGTCGTAGCTCACTCGGTAGAGCGTTGGCTGCGCACAAAGCCTTCCCTCCTGTGCGGGTTCGACTCCCACCGAGACCGCGAATTTTTCACAATTGGGTCAAGTGAATTAAGCAAATTTTTCCCGCTTATAATTTATATCTGTCAAATCTGAGGCTAAAAACTGGTAGTCTTCCGTCAGTGTTCATTTGCGATACGTAATTAGTGTAGAGTAAGTTTAGTACTTACTAGTTGTGTTGGCCCATTGGGCAACAACGGTTTATGTGGCCCCATGGGGAAAACGGACAACTGGAAAAAAATGTTGATAGTGGTTTTTATAGGTGCAGTAGATGGCAGCGGCAACTGATGGAGTTAGAGGAAGACCTTGAGAAAACTCAAATGTCTGATGTGTGTTTATTTTATTACTCATGTGAGGTGCCAGGAGAGACCGCGCGATTTGCAAGCTGTGAATTAGGAATGTGCACAAACGGGGATAAACAGATAATCCGTGGTTATTGGTTAATAGTGGCCGGGTTTTGTAAGAGCATGCCATGTGCACTCTAAATACTTACCTTTTTGTTAGCCGCAACACAACCCTCAATGCAAACTGGAGCCAAATCTTAATCTTAAATCCGCGGAAGTAACAATTTTTTTAGTGAGTGACCTTTAAAGTATACTTAAATGCCTACTAAATGCATTTCAGTAGGCGTCGTTTTGATTTGCTCACACCTTGACCAGACTCAGTGCAATAACCTTTATCTTGATTCGATTTCTTATATTGCCAAGTAAGTAAACGTAGGGCCACATTTGCTATCCGTACCCTCTTTTATTCCTATAAGGTATCCGTATTGGATGACCATGCACGCAAGCTCGTTAATGTGCAGTTATGGCGTGGTTGTTCAGTATCAGTATCAGTTTATTGAGGTAAAAACAGGCCAATGCCTTTGAATTCCCTTGTTTGACATGATCCATTTTCTATGGCGGAGAATTATTTAGGTGGACATGCAGCAATTGAGTTCGTTGTAGACCGGTGTAGCATGGCTAGACACATATTTTGTAGTACCTGCGTGCTGTGTCCGATCCTTTACATTCCACACCTCAGCCACCAAGGCAGAGTAGCTGGCGCGGTCTTCAGGATGCTTTAGAAAGTTTCATTTGCAGTCTCTTTCACTGTGGTGGTGGATTTATGCGTAGTGGTGCATCTTCTCCACACAGGCGGCAAGTTATGGAAGCCGTAGAAGAGGTCAGAGAACACTCTGGACGATAGTGACGGCGGCTTCAGCATCGGCAGGCCTCCGAGATGGAGACACTGGCGTTCTGTTCATTACTTGGGACCTCTAGACTCTTGTGTTGTGCAAAGGCTCAGCCTTTCGGACCAGGTTTGTTATCCATCTCTCGGGTTATTATCAGTTACGGGATCTCGATCCGCCACTCACTTCAGCAAAAGTAAGAACACCTGCACTCTGTCTGATTATTCTTCACTGCATCTGAGTCTCGGATCCTCGAACATTCGCATCGAGTGAATCAGCTAAGGATCAGCCTCACAATAACTTTGTGCAATAATTGCTTTAGCGTAGACAAAAGCGACCAAGCGCACATCTTTGCCAATGCTAGAAGCTTTTAGGAAGTGGTTGTTTAAGTTGATTCTAAGTGTTCTCCGAGACTGAGAAGGCGGGTTAACACTGCCTAAGGTGAAACCATTGTTCGAACCTCTATGGCTGACAAATGAAAAAGGCCGTGTTAAGACGGCCAAGTTATAACTCGGGCCGTCATGAGGACATGAGAACAAGGGACTCGAACAGGCTACCGGTGCATGCAGAGCGCGCAAAGAGATCGACCTTCAAAGGCTGACACCCGAGGACGCAAGAACAGCCGCCGGCCAGGTTCTGAGGTCA